GGTACAGCCTTATGGAGCCATATCCTTTCAGAGGAATGCCTGGCTACTCAACAGGGTTGGAAAGTCAAACAAGTATCAACACCTAGTTTTGCCTGCTGTGTCGTGGGCCCGAGCCTGCAAAGCTAGACCAAATGTGGTCCCTTTCCTAAGCGGGGGGGGGGGTCACCTTCTAGTAGGGGAAGGAATTTAGTCTCACTTCTCCTCTAGGAATCTGGAGTATTAGACAAGTCAAAGCAAAATAATGAGGGGTTAACATAACCTCAGAGGACCACTTTGAGTCTAAAATCCTTCCAGGTGTGTCAGATTGGTAGCGCCAACTTGTCAGTTTCTATTAAGAAGTAATAGGACTGGGCTTCCTGGGTGTGAGGGAAAGCAGGTCTGGGCTTAAATGTCCTTCCACTCTGACACAAACAGGAGATTGAAACTTAGGTGCCTCCATTCTTATCTGTAACCTCTCTCAGGGTTGTTTTTGAGGATGCAGTGAGTTAATGCATGCCCCCAGAAGCAGGGGAAGGGAACTGCTTTGGGGAGACTCCTATGTGTTATACTGAAGGGCTCCCTTAAATGCTTTATGACGTTTCTGTTCTCTTGTAACTCTGTAAGGTCGGGGTTATCCCTACTTTCTAGTGAAGACACAGGCTTAGAGCTATTGAGGTCAAGGTTACAAAACTGGCATGTGACAGCAGAGATTTAAGTATAATTTGGAAGGTGACTGTTTCCACCACACCACACCCTACTGGTAGGGTTGTTGTGATCACATGGGTAACATCTATGAAAGTCACCAAGAGCTTTCCTGGCATCCAGAAGCCCTTGATCTAGAGGCACATCAGTCTCCTCTGCTGAGAAGGAGGGGACACCACTCCATGCTGTTGACATCTCTTGAGTTTTAAAATGGAGCTTTTACCTCAGGGTAACTCCTATTTAAATGTTCACACATGGATTAATTCCTTTGCTCCTGACTGCTGCAGATAAATAAAAACTGTGGTAGGGCACCAGGCTCTGAGCTAGGCCAGGCAGGTTTGGACAATTTCCTAAGCCTCTTATAAAGAAAACTGGATTGAAAAAAAGTTGCCCTGGGTACAGTGATTCATGGACTGGTTTGGTTTTTTGGTTTGTTTTCCTTCTATTCTTTTTTTCTATGGGAAAAAAAATATGCATGCTTGGAAAGGAAAATGTGTAGCTTTTCATTTATCTTTTACTTATCACCTGAACCTTTCTCCAGGAGGCAGAGAGTGAATTAAAGGCTGGAAAGGCAGTGTCTGATGAGGCTCAGTTTTCTGACAGCCCACCAGCCCCATCCTGGACCAAGTACATTTTCACTACAAAGAGGTGTGACTAATCTTTCAGAGCAAGTGATATGTTAGAAGCAGTAGTTGGACCAGATGTGGTGGCGCATGCCTGTAATCCCAGCACTTTGGGAGGCTAAGGCAGGAGGGTCACCTGAGGCCAGGAGTTTGAGACCAACTTGGGCAACATAGCAAGACCCCATCTCTACCAAAAAAAAAAAAAAAAATTAAAAAAATTAAAAATTAGCTGGGCATGGTAACATGTGCCCGTAGTCCTAGCTACTCAGGGGGCTGAGGTAGAAGGATTGCTTGAGCCTAGGAATTTGAGACTGCAGTGATCGCCACTGCACTACAGCCTGGGTGATAGAGTGAGATCCTGTCTCAAAAAAAAAAAGGGAAGAAGCAGCAGTAGTAAATCCTGTGACCTTGTGGCCAGCCAGTTCATCCTATGAAGGAGGTCTGTGCTGAGTCCTTTTATAAAGTGAAGAGACCCTTTAGAATGCAGTGGACTGTGTAGCATAGTGGTTAAGAGCTCTGACTTGAGGCTTAAATGCTACTTACTGGCTGTGTGAACTTGGGCCATTCATTTGACATCTTTTAACCTCAGTTTTCTTATTTGTAAAATGGAATGAATAACACTATCTTATAGGATTATTGAAAAGATTAAATGCATTAACTGTGCAGTATTCCTTGCGCATTATCTGGCATATAGTAAATGCACAGTAAATAGCAGCTGCTATTATTTATTGCAAATAATTGCAGCCATTTTAATTTATAGATCTGTAGAATTAGAGAATCACTTTGAGACTAATTTAATCTCCATCTTTTACAAATGAGGAAACTAATCCAGAGGGGGAAGGGGCTTGTCCTAAGTCAAGTGGCTAGTTAGTGCCAAGAGCTGACCTGGAACCATGAGTCATGTTCCTAATGATTGTTCACACTTACGTCGTGTCTACACCCCACGAAGAACTTCTTGTCAATCATGTTTCTGGGCTGGGTTTTCACTTTCCTAGCGGGGGAGTGGAGCACATGGGGGTGGAGAGGGGTGGAGTGTGAGAGATTGAGCTAGAAAGGCTTCAGTTTCTATGGGTGAGGTTGGGAAGAGACACAGTTACATAGTTATGGGTCCTCTGGTGAAGAGGGATCACCTTCTGGAGTTCTACCCCAAAGGCTCACTCTCTTAGACTTGAAATTCTGTTGCTTTTTGAATCCATCTCCAGACTCAAGATAGGGATTTCTTCTAGGGAGGAAAGGTGCTGGGAAAGGATGGGCTGCACGGGACTTTCCACCTGATTTGTGATGTTTATTTTCTGTCATTGAAAAGTTACACGGGTGAAAGACCTGAAGCAAGTATGGCAGAGGGTGATCATTGGTATGTGTGGTGCTGCAGTGTTTTGCTTTTCTCTGTTTAATTTCTCAAAAAAGTCAGTAACATATGCAGTTAGCCAGGCAGTTTAAAGATAAACTGTTTAAAGATAAACTGTCAGCCACATACTTTAGAGCAGTGTTTTGTTTTATTTTTTATGTTTCTGGGAAGCATCAACTCCTTGGAGAATCTGATTAAACTAATGATTCTTTTTCTGAAAAAAACTGCTTTTGAAAAATGTTTACAAAGAATGAGAAGGAGCTCCATGAGCCAACGTGGAAAGATTTCCTGCATATATATATATAGTTAAGTGTTAAAAAAAAAAAAAAAGTAAGAGTATCTATAGTATTCCACCTTTCATATAAGAAACAAGGGGATATTTAAAAATTCATGTATTTGCTTATTTGTGCAGAGAAAATACAAGAAAGATAAACCAGAAACTAAAGAGAAACCTGGGGTGAATGGGAAGAAAGGGGCATGAAAATAGCATAATACAGGGAAGAGGAGAGTGACATTTCTCTGAGCATACTTTTCTGAGTTTTGTCTCTTAGAACTATAGTGATAGCTCACAAACCCAGAAAGTAAGTAAGTAAAAGTAACTAGGATATAGGGGAACCCAAAATGGAATACAAAAATTTGCAAATGAAAAATAGCCAGGCATGGTGGTGCGCCTGTAATCCCAGCTACTTCAGAGGCTGAGGCAGGAGAATCGTTTGAACGCAGGTGGCAGAGGTTGCAGTGAGCCCTGCCATACTGCACTCCAGCCTGGGTGACCGAGCTATAGTCTAAAAAAAAAGTTACAAGTTACAAATGAGTCTTGTTACAAGTGAATAATGTAACCACACTGAAGGGCACGTGGAAGAAAAGAACTCAAGTAACTGGAAAACAGTATTTTGGCTGAATACTATGAGGCTAAAGACAGAACTTTATACAAATGCTGTGTGCTGTTAGTAAATTTGTTTCTCACAGGGGTATGGATTAGAAGTTTGGAAACTATGTGTATGCTAAGATTGAACAAATATAGAAATGCATGGTAGATAATAAGAACCGGGTTTCTCCTTTGAGAAAGAAGTTACAAATAAGAAAAGGAGGAAGGCTAGAATGAACCATGTGATGTTAGATTGGAATTAGCTATCAGTATGAACTTATGGCTTTTTAATAGATACGTAGATAGATACAGAATTACACGTAGATTTGGGGGGGTGGCAGGGGGGTGGTTAGTATACATACCTGTATTTTCTAGCTCTGTCTGCTAAGAAGTTCTGAAAGAAATAATATTCCAACAGCAATGAACTTAGAGCCTAGATCCTTGTTTTCAGTACCATTCCCCAATAAAAGCAACCAGGGCTTCTTGGAGAAAGGCTTGATCCCTAGGGCTGGACAGAGAAAACACAAGAGGATAGATATCTTGTGTTGCAGAAAGTATATAATTACTCACAAAAAGTTGGCGGCATGTTGAAAGAGCACAAAAACTAACCCAAAGAAGCCCCCAGTGGCCAAATTTGGAACACTTTGAGCAGCAAAATAACTAATGATAGTAGTGGATTATAACCATAGCATAAAAGATACCAATGAGTTGTACTGATATAAGTAATTGAAGGAGTAAATAAATGGGCAGAAGGAACACAGACCTCCCTGAAAACCATCTTGTGCCAAAAGAGTCAGCAAACTTCCTGTAAAGGATTGGATAGTAAAGATTTGGGGCGTTATGGATCATATCTCTGGCCCAACCACTCAGCTCTGCTTTTGTAATGCAGAAACAATCATAGACAATACCTAAACAAGTGGACATGGCTGTGTTCCAGTAAAACTACAAAAACAAGGTCCCTTTGTTGACCCTGTTCTAGAGACTGCCTCTTTAGAAGATTAGGTGTCTTTCCCTGTTTACACAGTAGATCTTGCTGAATTTTAGGGGTAGAAGGGCTTCAGTTGAGATGATTGTACCCTGTAGCTCTGACACATACACTACTTGGTGCAATTTAAGAATTGCAGATTTGGGGAGAGGTGGCTTATTTTGTCTCTTGTTCAAATCTTGTTTTTGTGTACATATTCTGTATAGTGGTATGTAGTGTAGATTTTGCAATCAGACACAACTGGCATGGAAAACTAGCTTTGTCTTCACTAGCTGTAGGACCTTGGACAAGTCGCTCAACTTCTCTGAGTTTCTGTTTCCTCATATGTAAAATAGTAATGTTGTTGTTAGCTACAAGGACAGAATTTTAGATGATCCACTAAGAGGAAAAGATATTCTGCATATATCTTCTCTAGGGGGAAAATTAGTGAGTCAGTTTAGGAGTCTATTATTGATCTGGGGTGACAGCTATAGGATTGTGGTTGTTAACACCTAGGAAGACCTCCGCGTGGATGGCCGTGGCTGTGAGGACTACCGATGTGTTGAAGTGGAAACTGATGTGGTGTCCAACACCAGTGGGTCTGCCAGGGTCAAGCTGGTGAGTACTGTGACCATGGTTCAAGCCCAGGTGGAGAAATGAGTAGACCCTAAGGAATGAGCTGCTGATGCCATCAGGCTTTTGGAATGCAGATGGCTCTTGGGGAAATCAAAGATCCAAGCCAAACTCAGGGAGGGGGTGTCTCCATCTCTGAAAGACTGCTTACCTCCTCCAAAGACCACTTTCCCAGTCTTAGCACTGCTCCTAAAAGAGTCCCCCAGGGGTGTATGTCCAAAAGAGGAGGGAGGTGGTGGAGCGCCTGGCTGCCTACTCTGAGTGAGGACCCTTCTTGCATGTGTCTGCAGGGTCACACAGACATCTTGGTGGGCGTGAAAGCAGAAATGGGGACGCCGAAGCTGGAGAAACCAAATGAAGGCTACTTGGAGTTCTTTGTTGACTGGTCAGTACTATGCAGATATTTCTAAAGAAAAAATTCTAAAGAAAAATGATTTTAAAAATGAAGATTCAGAAAATGAACCTCTAGTTCCCTGTTGAACCCACTTTTATACTTATTCAGCCATCCAGCAGGCATTTGCTGACCTCCTCCTATGTGCCAGGTACATAGTCAGGACTCTTGGCTTGAGTCCTGCCCTAGTCTTAACCACCTGGCTATTGCTGGCCTTGTTTTCCCTGTCCAATAAAGGAGGACATCTGCCAGGCAGCCTAGCGCATGATTGTGATGAGGGTCAAATGAAATGATTGTGTTATGGTGCTTTGAAAAATATCATACGTAAGGATCATTTGGTCTAAAATGTACTGTTTCTCTTCCTATTCTAGTTCTGCAGAAAACTGTTCATGATTTGCTTGACAGATGAAGCCTAGGGTCAGCCAAACAGCCTGACAGGCTGAGGAAGTGGCAGCTAGGCAGGCAGTATGGGTACTGAGAAGAGAGAGGGCTCTGTAGTGTCTGCAGCCAGCCTTGGGCCAGAATGTCACTTCCTTCTCTGGCCAGCTTTGTGATCTCAGGCTGGTTACTCAGTCTCACTGTGGCCAAATTTCTTCATCTAAAAAATGAGGATAATAAATAAAGAGGAAATGAATAGAGTGAGTACTTAGCACAGTGACTGAGACTCCCAGTGGGCTTTCAGTAAGTATTATTTTTCCTTATTTTGTCAGTAAGTTCAATAAGTATCATTAGTTCCACGTTCTAGGGGTTGGGGCTTTTTACTGGGTTGCTGGCCAGGTCCCGTCTTCTATCAGTTACCTTGCTTCTGGAAGTCAGGCCTTCTTGAAGTGGGTAAGGATCTCTGTGGGCTCATGCTGGGTGTAGGTATATAATGTTGACCCTGTATCAAGATCCCCAAGACCACCTCCACATTCAGAGATTTGCTGGACTTAGCATATAGTGATACTCACAGCTAAGGTTTATTATAGCAGTGAAAATACAGTAACTTATTTGTGACATTTCTGCCCAGGAAAGCCCATTAGAGACTTAGCACCCAAGATTTTTACTGGGGGCTGGTCACATAGACACTCGCTGCTTAATACATAATGAAGTTTTCTAAAGGAAAGCAAATGTTCAGCATAAATGATATTATTTGCACAATATAGGCACAATGGACTACCCCCATCAGTTTACTATTGACTGGGAATAGTCTGAGAGCCAGGTTCCCAGATGGCAGCCAAGGGCCAACCCTGCAAACAGACCCTTCTGAAAATAGCAACCTTGGACCGCAACGGCAGCTCTTTTCTGCACAAATGTTCACCCACTTCGGTAGGGTAGTTGCAGTCTTCCAGTCTGAACTTCCATACACGGAAGCTGATTCTCACAGTACTCCTATAAGAGAAATGACAAATGAGTTCAGAGAGGGTAAGTGACTTTCCCAGGGTTACAAAGCTAAAAGTGCCAGCTCAGGTCTGTCCAACCTGTGAATCTTTGCTGTTTTACTTCATGCAGCCTATAGAAGTCAGCTTTGGAGGGCTGCTCTTGGGGAGTCCAAAACTATCCATGTTCATTTTTCTGGTCAGTTTTTTTTCCAGCCCACTCCTGTCCTCTGCTCTGGTCCCCCAAGTCATCTCTCCTGGTTCTGCTCATCTTCTCTCACCAGCTTGAGTTGTCCCATGGAATTGGGACATCCTCTAAGTTACTGTGGATGATGGTGACCTTGTTCAAGCCCCCAATTTATCTTTTCCTTTGTTCTTGGAGGAAGCAGAATGCTTCTGGTAGCCTTGATCTGCCTAATTCAATGCAGTAAGCAGTCACTGAGGAGCAGACAACGTGTGAGGAACTGTAATTTGCTTTCTTTTTCATCTCCTTCATTACCTTCTACCTCATTCATTTTAAGCAGACCAAAGACATTCAGCCCAACCACACCAAAGAGAGGGTGTTGCCCTCAGATGCTTGGTATAGGGGATACATTTCATTGTGATTCTGTGTCTAAATATGACTCCAAGTTAGCCTGCTGCTCTTATCCCTTTCTTGTCCCAGCTGTATAGGAAGAGTGACTCTAGTGTGAGAGGATCCTTTGAGTTGCCTCTTCCCAAGATCTGGCTTCTAGAAGTAGCCTGTCTTTCCTGCCTTAGAGTGGCTGCCTCCTGGTCTCTTTTCCTCCTCCGTGGGTCTCAATCCACAGTCCCAAGAGCTCCAGTTTCTAGGTAGTTCTCCTGAATTGATTTCTCAAGATGGACAGTCTCAAAGTGGCACACTTTAGCTTCTTTAAGTGGCTCAGCTAATGTAATCAGCCCAGCAAGTAGAATCACCATGAGAGAGTCACAAAACCCCATTTCCTACAGAGATGAGAGAGGTTACCAAGCACTGATGGCTGCCACCTGTATCAGAACCTCACTTGAGTCTTCAAGGAGCATAATTATTTTAATTGCATAAACAAGCATGTCCTTTTATTCTGAATCAGTGAATAGGAATGGCTTCTGGACACCTGTGGATGTGCCCAGCAATAAGGGTGCCACCCGCCCACTCCCACCAGGACTCCAGGCATAGGGCCTCTGCTGGAGAGCTCAAGGCATTTGCCTATCCACAGGCTGAAACATAGTTGCTACCCAGTGGAAGGAAAGAAATTGGTGGTGATGGTGATAGTGATGGTGGCGGCGGTGATGGTGGTGAGGGTTTCTTCTGCTGCTCTGAGTCTAGTTTGATTTAACTTCTTGTCAGCAACTTCCAGTTTTAATTAAATTCCCAGGGGTAGAGAGGTCTCAGAAAACTAATTGATTTTCTGCTAACTCATTTCACTTGGTTTTGTCTGCTTGGAATGATAATACATGGAGCCAAGAAAGACATTGTCGCCACCTCCATAATTTACCCTGTTTCTTGGGAATGATGAACAATCTTTGCTATAGCCCTCACAGCCCTTTGGAAAGACTGCTTCACTGACCCTGAGCCCAGCTGCAGAGATGCCTGGCAGCACTGTCACTAAACTGGGAGCAAAATCTGACCTTTTCATATCTTTGGTTTACTGATTGTAGTTGAGAGTAGGCTATTTTAAATGAGAACTTGGAAACTCTAGGAAAAAGTGGTTTCTATCTAAAGCCCAAGAGGAAGGTAAAATTTCGGTGAGCTGGTGTGTCACCCTGTGCTGCCACTAGGCGGTGAGCCATCAAGTTGCTTCTCAGTTCTCCGACCATTGTGTTGATGGGTTTAGGACTGTGGTTTAGCCTCTTAGAGAGACTTGGGTTTTTAACTAGGGGAGTTTAGGAGAACATTTTTCATTCATAAATGTTTCAGGATACTCTGCACTGGTCACTTCCCTTTGGGATCTTAAATATTTTTCAATGTGATCAGTTGTGTTTTTCACTAAAATTGAACCAGAATCTTCAAGCCTGCATTGGTGGGTAGAACCACTATATCTGGGTTCCTTGTCTGCTTAGTGCTGCTAAAGGGGACACTGTTCCTGGCTGAAGGGCTGGGGGTGGGTACAAAGCAGAGAGGCAACCTGCAGAAGCCTTTTTGTGATCAAAGTCTCCCAAGCTGATGAGATAACTCTCGCAGAAACTTCAAACAAAGGCTTGTGATGAAAAGCTCAGAATGTACTTACTGTTGGTCTGGTACCCATTCACAGGAAGGCTTCTGCAGGCTCAGAAGTGAGCACATGTACACACAGAGGAATCAGCCTTAGGGCCTGTGCTGGGGCTAGATGACTACTGGAGGGGTAAGGCGTGAGTTAGCCCTTCCTAGATACCCACTAGATCACTTTTTCTGCTATGGGCCTGGCCTGACCTGGCTGTAAGACTTCATAGATTTGCAGGCCAGATTGATTGCCAGGCAAACAACAATGGGCCCAGTGTCTAGAGTCCCTTTCCTACTCCCTTTCCAGGTAGGCATGGCCTTGATCTCAACCTACCCCAGTTAAATCAGAGATGTTCCAAGCAGGAGGGTAGAGGTGATGAGTCAGAAGGGGTGGAGGGCTGGGAGGGGTAGCCTTCCCGGGATCTTAATTAGTTTATCCAGCTCAGTAAACAATTTCCCACAACTCTGGAAGAGGGACTGGTCATGTTTTATGAAGGGTCAGAATTGGTTTTGGTAAATGCAGAAAGCATTTGGTTTTATGCCCAAAAGACCGAGTGTGTACACCCCCCACTGAAGGAGTAGGTTGTGAGGCATATGAGCAGGTGGCTACAATTACCAGCCTGTGTTTTCTTTCTCTCTCTCTCTAACAGAGCAGAACAGCTTTTTATTCAGGGCTTCCTTAGTCAACATTCCTTGACTCCAACATTTGTGGTCTAGTGATAAGTCCCAAGACTAGAGCACACATTCATTTCCTTGAGGCAAAAGGTAAAACCAAGGAAAGTGAATCTGACTAATGTTAGACTATAAACCAAGCTTGCCAAATTACAGATTCAAGGAGAGTTCAGGGAAGCATAGCAGATAAGGGCCAGGCTGTCTGGGTTAGAATTTTAGCTTACCAGGCACCGTCATCTTGTGGCCTTGGACAAATTACGTAACCTCTCTGTGACTCGGTTTTCGTATTTCTAGAATGGAGTCGATACCTCCTCGGGTTGTTGTGAACACTAAATGAGTTAATACACCTAAAGTACTAAGAGTGGTGTCTAGCTCATACTAAACATTCAAAAAAAAGGGTGAGGTTTCCCTTCTTGTAAAATGTGAGAATTAGACCATCTGGGATCTCACAGTGTCATCCCACAGGTCAGATCCCACCTGTGAGATTTTTGTTTCACATAGGGATTTTTTTTTTAAGGTGGACCTTAAGTCAGGGCTGGAAAGTTTGCCACAGCCTCCATCATTCTCTGTTGGTTATAGAGAATGGTTTTCTTATTAGTTATATAGAGTGGCCCTTTGTTCAGAATCATGTAGTAATCTTGCTGACTCCTATAGGCATTTGGGTTTTTATCCTCTGGAGATGGTCTCTAAGGCCTGTTCCAGGTCTACATTTCTGTCAGAAAGAGTCCTTGGGCTGTGAGTGCCCAGTAATGAAGTGGAATCCTCATTTCTCTACTCCAGCCTTTGTCTTCACCCATCAGCAGAATATGGGGTCTCTGGCTTTCTTATGTTACTTAAAGCATTGTACCCCATCCCCCACCCTGAACAACTGCCTTCCGTTTTCCCAGCCTCCTCCCCAGAGTCACTGCACAGCTGTGGCACCATCCAGACACAGGAGAGTTCCACGGGCTCATGAGTCTCTGAACCTTCCTCTCTGTCTGACTGCTGGCTATGCTGAAAGAATAGGGGTGTGTGTGTGTGTTTTAAGCCATTTAAAAATCGGTAAAAATTTCCACTTTAACCCAGTGTCCAAAAAAACCAATGGGGCATGTGTTTGCTGTTGTTGTTGTTGTTTTTTGAGACAGAATTTTATCTTGTTGACCAGGCTGGAGTGCAATGGCACCATCTCAGCTCACTGCAACCTCTGCCTCAGGTTCAAGTGATTCTTGTGCCTCAGCCTCTCAAGTAGCTGGGATTACAGGCATGCGCCACCACACCCAGATAATTTTTCTATTATTAGTAGAGGCAGGGTTTCTCCATGTTGGTCAGGCTGGTCTCAAACCCCCGACCTCAGGTGATCTGCCCGCCTTGGCCTCCCAAAGTGCTGGGATTACAGGTGTGAGCCACCGTGCCCGGCCAGGGGCATGGTTTTATAGGTAGATTAATTTAGACAGTTGGACCTGGGAAGCTCTATAAATTGTCCCCTAAGGCTGTAGAAGAGTTAGTGCATTAATCCCAAAGAAATTAGTCATAGCCAGGAGCATGTGCCCACTACATTCAGGGAAAGAGAAACATTTTGAGCGTAAGCATCTCTGACTGGATTTGTGTACACAGAAATCTCTGTAGGTGTATTTTTAAGCACTTAAAACAGGGACTTAATATTGATTGCTTATTGTTTAAATTAGAAACAGGCTACGTTTTGCTGGCTGTGCAAAGTAAAAACTTGGTCCCTAGTGATTTGATTATTTCATCATAAATGAGCTGCTTTTCTTGGCTCGATGCCGGAGTCCAGCAAAGGCGGGGAACAACGAGGTTGCTATGGCAGTAGTGAAGTCTCTCTTGGGGACTTAAAGGGGATTCTGCTGGCTCACAGTGGTAAAGGAAGAGTATATAATTAGAGAGGCAAAATTTTATGTAACGACGTAGTCTGATTATTTTAAGATTAATTCTTCTACCTATATTACTAAGTGAGATTTTTTTTTAGTCTTATACAAATTGGGTGGGCACTGCCATGGGCCTTCACACAGGTTTTGCTTTGCCTGTAATCTTCCTGCCTCTCTGGCCTGACCAGCTCTGCTCATCCCATGTTTGAGGTCTCCTTTAAACCTGAACGCTAGTTGACATTCTTGCGCCTCCCTCCCGCTTCCACCTCACTGTTTGCTCCCTATCGTGAAACTGCCCTCCCTCACTGGAACCGCTGGCTTTGGGTCCATGTCCGCCTCACTTAGTCTCTAGGTCTCTGGTAGCTGGTGCAGGGCTGGGTACCTTCCAGATGGGCGAGGGGTCAGAAGGCTTTAATATGTGATTTTACAGAGTCTGTGCTGAAACCACCGGCTTCTTACCTTTCTAGTCCTTTATTGTTACAGTAAAATGATTACTATAATGTTTACTTACCTCACATACATATTAAGGGTTTGTTTGTATTAAGCCAAAACCCTCGGAAACGTCCTATTAAACACTTCAGTGTTTTTACGGTGGCTAATGTTGAATCCTGTTAGTTTTGTTGAGGTTATTGGGCATAAGTATCAAGAAGCCAAAAAGGGAAAAACAAGTTTTCCTCTTGAAAAATATCAAATGAAGGAGGTAACCTACTACTTATGAGCCAACAGTCTTTCCCTTGCTTTCTTTCATTTTCCTTCTCTTCAGTACAGTGATATCTAAAGTTTCTGACTATCATACGTGTCTTTTAAGTCATTCCAGAAAGGTTATTGTACTTACATTGTGGTTTTTATATTGAGAGTATCGTAGTGTATTCTAAAGCTGTGAAACTAGAGGTGGTGTATATGACGAAACCCCTCTGTAACCCAGACTGCTTCATTCCCTAGGCCTCTCAGCTTCCTGGGCCTGCCAGACAAGAGTATTTATTATACTCGGAAGATAAGAGAGTTAGTTATTATCGGCTGAGGTTCACATTACCATCACTCTCCTGTTTCTCTTTGACTAAAGATGGCTTCTGTTAGAAGCTATTGGGAAATCCCATAACACACGCTGACAAATCCAGGTCACAGTGCTGGTCTGGTTCATTACATGTGTCTGGAGTCAGGAAAAGTGGCAGATGCCATCCTTTCCTCATCCCAGTGACTTTCTGTTGAGCAGCTGGCTCTTCCAACATTCTGCAGGGAAACTGTAATAAAACTGTCTCCTTGCTTTTTGCGCTTGGAAAGACTCACCCAGTTTTTTTGTTTCTGTTTTGTATAGTTCAGCCAATGCTACCCCTGAATTTGAAGGTAGAGGAGGTGATGACCTTGGCACCGAGATCGCTAACACCCTCTATCGGATATTTAACAATAAAAGCAGTGTCGACTTGAAGACCCTCTGCATTAGTCCTCGGGAGCACTGCTGGGTTCTCTATGTGGATGTGCTAGTGAGTATCACCCTGCTGAACTGGCCACATTCTACCTTTGTCGGAAAGACTAGTTGGCCTACTTTCCTTCCAGTGCCTTTTTCCTCTTCAGGTGGATGCTTTCAACTTATAGGGTGAGATTTATTGGGAAAAGATGGTCTCCTATAATAATTTTTAAAAAAATTAAAATACAACATAGATGTAAGCAGCATATATATAATGCCATTCTATAATAAAATTGTAGTCATATCATGGTAGCACCTAAAATTGCCCATAAAAGTTGTCTGGGAAGAATAAAACAAGAGATGGTCTCTGGATGGGCCAGACAGAGTTAATGGGCAGAATTTAAATAGGTTGGTACATTCTGTGTGAAAGGATGATAAACTCTTTACATGCATTTTCATTTAAACATTATAAACCTGTTGCAAATGGATACTGTTGTATTTCCCATTTATAAGTGAGGAAACTGAGACATAGAAAGGTTAAGTAACTAGCCCAAGAGGTCTCAGCTTGTGAGTAATGCCGTTGAGTCTCAAAGCCAGGTCTGTATGATGTGAACACCTGGTGTGACTTCACTGTACCATCGTTTCTTTTAAACACCTCAGAGCCTGCCTGCCCCTAGTTTCCTGGGTGAGGCCCCAGAGGCCCTGCCTCCGCCCACACAGAGTCTACTCACCTGGGAGTCTTTTGAGTCCAGCCCTCCATTTCCTCCCTTGTACTTTGCCTCCCAAATACTCCTCTACCCATGTTTTGGCACTCGACAGTAACTTCTCTGTGTAGCTCTAATTAATTTTGGGTTTTTTTGAGATGGAGTCTCGCTCTGTCACCCAGGCTGGAGTGCAGTGGCGTGATCTCGGCTCACTGCAACCTCTGCTTCCCAGCTTCCATCGATTCTCATGTCTCAGCCTCCTGAGTAGCTGGGACTACAGGCACATGTCACCACGCCTGGCTCATTTTTGTATTATTAGTAGAGATGGGGTTTCATCGTGTTGGCCAGGCTTGTGGAACTCCTGACATCAAGTGATCCACCTGCCTCGGCCTCCCAAAGTGCTGGGATTACAGGTGCGAGCCACCGTGCCTGGCCTTAATTTTGCTTTTGTATAATCCTGTAGCAGTTGGTTGCTTGTTTATATACAGGATCTTGTTGGGTCTGTTTTATTCCTTTTGGTTAAATTTCGTGAACCTTGAGATTAGCAGCTACATCTTCCACTTCAGATTAAGGACACAAAGCTAAGCTATTGGCCAAATAGATTCTTTAATGAATGTGCAGATAAAGGAGATCTGTGAACTGACAGTGAACTTCATGAAAAGAAACAGCCTGGCTCTGCATGTTGGCTCTACTGAAACAGGGTGGAACTTTCTAGATATTTTTAAATTAATTTGATATTGGATGGAGCATAGTCAAAAGGTAGCAGTGGTAACTATTATCTAGCAGGTTACTGTTGCAATGATACCACTAATAGGTAAAAATAATGAAATTACAAATCTATTTGCTTTTTCTGTCTCTCTTAAGTGTGATGCACCTTGTAGTGTGATTCCCACTAAGCAGGCAATTTTTCAGGGCTTGGTTTTGAGGAGGTGGGAACTGGCAGCCTGTAGTCCTTATTGAGGATGGTAGAGGCAGGCTTCATCATTGCCCAGGGAGGTGCAGCTCCATGGCATGAACTCTCAGGTTCCATCCTGTGTCTGAAGAACATTATGTCCACTCCCCTTCTCCACTAGGGAAAGTTAAGACACAAGTGTTGTGGCGCACTGCATTTGTCCTTTTGTAATCCTTCTGTGTTCATCCTCAGTATTCAGGCACACTTGTAGTTTTGTAGGATGGCCCACTGATGGGGACGGATGTGCTTTTGATTCAGTCAGTTAAAGTCAAAGCAACAGAAGCCTGTTCTATTAGGGAAGGCTTTTACAAAACTGATGAATATTGGGACATTATCTCAGCTCAGAAGCAGCCCTCTTCAGTGAGCAGGGGATACTTGGTGCACAGGAGTATCCAGGGGAATGTGCACTGTGTCCCTGTCATCTGTAGACCTTTATTTTTAAGACTCCTGGCATTTGGATTTCTTCTGAAATATCTTTTAAAGGGTTTTGCTTATTTTGGAAGAAGACATGAACTTTGAAAATGTTGTCATTTTCTGACCAGGTGCAGTGGCTTACGCCTGTATTCCCAGCACTTTGGGATGCCAAGGCAGATGGATCACCTGAGGTCAGAAGTTCGAGACCAACCTGGACAACAGAGTGAAACCCTGTCTCTACTAAAAATACAAAAATTAGCTGGGTATGGTGGCACACACCTGTAATCCCAGCTACTGGGGAGACTGAGGCAAGAGAATTGCTTGAACCTGGGAGGCGGAGGTTGCAGTGAGCCAAGATGGTGCCACTGCGCTCCATCCTGGGCAACAGAGTGAGGCTCCATCTTTAAAAAAAAAAAAAAAAGTTGTCATCTTCAGAAAAGTTTTTAATGAATTAGAAAAGCATTTTTGAAAATGATATTATTAATGAGGCCCATCCATTTTTGGCATTCACATAATTTTCATCAGTGGATGGGTGATATACTGAGTAGATTGAGTCCATGTTTGAAGCGAGGTGGTGGAAATTTGTGAAGCAATCCTTGAAGCAAGATAGTGGAAAATAAATCTATTTTCTTTTTGCCAACTGGTCTGGGTAGTCCTCAAACAGAGCCTATGTTCAAACAGATATTTGCTGGGCACCCTGCCATGTTTTTATACTTATTTACTTCAAACCTATTACAGTCAGATAACCCACCTGTTTCCAGTATTGTTTTTTTCCCGAGTTTGGTTATTTTATGAGAGTGAAAATTTAACTTCACGGAAATTTCACTTTGCTCTTTATAGTTCTCTGATGGCATCAGTTTTTACTCTAAGAGGGATAACTGTTAGAACTTTGTTGCACTAACAACACACAGCTGACCTTTGGTGGGGTGATTAGTCACAAGGCTGTCTTTTGATGGGTTCTTTCACAAATAATCACCAACATTCTTCATAACAGCCCTTCTGTTGGCCTCTGGGGATAAAAGGATGAACAAAACTACAGAGTCCCAGCCTTTAGGAGTTCACAGTTCAACTGAAGAAGAGAGAGACTCTAAACAAAAACAGAAATGCATGACTTTTCTTTCTATGTGTGACTTCTCACCTTTCTTATTTGGGGCAGCCCAGTTGGCTTTATTCCATAACCTCAGGCCAAGGCCTCTCTGAAATGAGGACAGAAGGATATGCCACCTTCCAGTTAAATGTGCTCTAATTTTCCCTGCTAGATGAGCACACATAAGTGCACTCAACACTTTTGCTCATGGGCAGAAGCTTGTCTGAGAGACCTTAGTCTTCATTATAAGTAATGTAAAACATGTAGTATTTAATGTCTGAGCATCAGATATACATTGATCGTTATGTATGAGAGGTAATTACAGTAGTAAATGTGAACCTAGTAGCAGCCGCAACATCAGTAGTCACTATTTTCTCCTTGTTTGGAGGCCAGGCATGTGTTAGCAAATACTGGAGTGACACTTGGAGTACAATTGGGAACTATCTGGGGCAAAATAAAGGTGATCAGTCCCACCTTCAGGGCAGCCCCAACTGCCTGAAGTGCCTATGAGAGGAGTGCACCACAAGCCATGGCCTCTGAGTGTTGGTACCACAGCCCTGGTCAACTGTGACCTTGTGTGCATGGGCCACATAAGCACAGCCGTTACAAGGCAGTGCTTGTAATTAGGGTGAAGGACTGTGTCAATGAGTTGCAGTCATTGCATGGCTAGCCAGGAGAGCAGCCACATGTTATCTTTATTTTATAAACTCACAGTCAGCATTTCTTAGAAATCAGTGTCCTTGACCACAGAATAGATTTGGGAAAGAAAAAAAAAAAAAATCAGTGTCCTGGCCGGCTGTGGTGGCTCATGCCTACACCCCAGCACTTTGGGAGGCTGAGGCAGGCAGATCACTTGAGGTCAGGAGTTCAAGACCGGCCTGGCCAACGTGGTGAAACCCTAAAAATACAAAAATTAAGTGGGAGTGGTGGCGCACACCTGTAATCCCAGCTATTCGGGAGGCTGAGGCAGGAGAATTGCTTGAACCTGGGAGGCAGAGTTTGCAGTTAGCCAAGATTGCACCACTGCACTCCAGCCTGGGTGACAGAGCGAGACTTGGAAAAAAAAAAAGCAGTGTCCTTTAACTGGGGCAATACTTAAAGTAATAAATGATGCTCATTTTTTTTCCTTTTTCAATTCCTGTCTCCCTTAGCTGCTGGAATGTGGTGGAAATTTGTTTGATGCCATTTCCATTGCTGTAAAGGCTGCTCTCTTCAATACAAGGTAAGTCTTCCTGGAAACAGCTCTGCAAACCTGTGGAGAACCAGGGCAGACACTTGTAATGGAACACTGAGGAAATTTCTATTGTAGCTCATATGTGAAGATAACAGCAGGTTTTAACATTGAAAATGGTGACATCTAACGTTAAACTCCAGAAAAGATAGATTTCGTAACTTAAAACTACATATATACGTATATTCTGTATTTATTTTTTGTATTGTTATTTTTATAGACATCTACCATTTAGAAAAATATTAGAAAACTACAGAGAAGCCAAAAAGAGTAGACGCCACCTACAGGCCAACTATCCAAATACTATTACTGGGTGAACTCTATGGGGGCAAGGATTTTCCTGTTTTGTACTTGCCTATATTCCTAGCACCATGAACAGTGCCTGAAAACATAGTAAGTGCTTGCATATTGCTTGATTGTACACATGTATGTTCTAAAAGCAGGGTAACAGCCTTCCCTTTGGCTTAAGAAGAGGAAATGGCTATTCCACGTGGTTCATCTTTCCAAACAGGTTGTGTAGAAGGGACAAATTGCTACGGTTTTTTGGAGTTGACATTTATCCTGACTGATTATTATTCCCCCTTCTATGCTCCAAGTACTTTGAGGAAAATTTGCAGCATTTATGAGTAAATACGTGGGATAGGGTGTTCATCCTATGAGAGAGCCTACGTTAAGGTAACAGAGGATCCTATTAAAAAATGAGGATTAGAAACTTCTAGGGATATAACCTAAGGACATAATTGAATAAATGAGCAAAGATGTTTATTCTAGGATGTTCATCACAGCTGCTTTGTAATGGTAAGAAACTGGAAACAACTTGAGTTTCACAACGTAGGGGGTCGAAGTCCACACAGCAGCCTATTTAAAGGCATGTTAATATGGAAAATCACTCACCAAATGCCATCCCCTCATCCTGGTTTTTGTTTGTTTGTTGTATTTTACTTTGGTAGTTCTTATATTTAATATGTCTGGAAATAAATATGTACCCCCAAGTGGTCATTGTAATTATTTTTCAGTGCTCATATTTTGGCCAACTTAACATTTATCTGTTTTTTAGAGCTTTTCTATGATGAGTTTAGACTCCCTGTGTAATTTAGAGTAGACAAAAATTGCAGGCTGGAGTATTTGTTGAAAATGAAAGCTGTAGAGTCCCCCACCCCTAGTTGTGCCTCTAGGCTCCTTGTTGAGACTATTTGAAATGTGAGCCTGGCACTCTTGGCCACTGTGGGAGCCTGCGTGCCAGATCCCACAACAGTGGCTGGTGCTCGGGCCCTGTTGGGGAAGGAAAGGAAGTTGTCATCTGATGTATCTCGAGCCTCAGAAATGACTCCTCATCTGCCAGCTGGTTACTATAGGCACCCAGGCAAAACGAGAGATTGGGAACCACACAAGGCTGTTTAGCTGTTGGGGAGGTACTGGGAAAACTGTATACCAGAAAGGTTAACCCAGCTGCTCAGGTGGGGGAGGACACCTGTCATGGGCACAGCCATAGTCTCATCCTCAGACCAAGAACAGCTCTGCAGGCAGCAAGGAATGGGGACTCTAAGGCATCGAGTCCCCCTGGTATGTGGAGAGACTGTTGGCATATTCAGGGTCCTTTAGAAGGGTAAAGGCCGCCTGAGGGTATTCTTTAGCCCTTCTGCCTAGTCATGTTGTAGCGTAAATGGTTGACTGACTTGTTCAAATAGGATATTACTTAGTATTTAAGAACTTCCCCTGATGGGAAGGCTCCAACTGGGGAAGACCCTTACAGAACTCCTTGGCCCTTGTGGACATTCTCTGGCTGAAGCTCCCCTGATATGGTATAGGTGCTGCCTTGTGTGTGGATGGCCAGCAGGGCTCAATCATGGGGGGCTTTTGTTAGAGGAACTGGGAAAAGTACCAATGCTCTTTCCATTGCAGGAGCTGGATGGACCACCTCTTCCTTCCTGGCTCCTCCACCCTAGCCTGGAGTGAATTGACTTTATAGGTTAAATGTGTTTTTCAGTACCCAGCTAAAGAAACAGAATGTTGCCAGCACCCCAGAAGCATCCCACACCTTCTGTACCCCTGTGCAATTACACTCACTGATGATAACCAGCACCTTAAAAGAATAGATTACTTTTGTACTTGATATAAATGGTATCATATACTGTGTTCTGTTTTGTGTCTGCCTCATACACTGAGCATTGTGCTTTGAGAGATCTGTGTCGCTGCCTTAGTCATAGCTTGCTTTTTGCTGTATGGTGTTCCATTGTGTGACTTTGTCCGGTCTGCTGTTTATCCAGTCTACTGTCCAGTCTACTGTTGTTTATCAGTCTACTGTTGATGGCCATCTGGTTCGTTTCCAGTTTGAGGCTATTACAAATAGGGAGGGCATCATGAACATTTTTGTGCATGTCTTTGGTGCACATATTTCTCTATTTCTGTTAGGGAAGAGTGTTCTGGGTTATAGGGTATGACTATCTTTAGTTACTGTAGATGCTGCCATTTTCACAAAGTGTTTTACCAGTTAACACTTCCACCAGCAGTGTATATAAGAGTTCTGGGTTGTTTCACATCTTTGTCAACCCTTACTTTTTTTTTTTTTTTTTTTTGAGATGCTGTCTCACTCTGTCTCCCGGGCTGGACTGCAGTGGCGTGATCTCAGCTCACTGCAATCACCCCCTCCCAGGTTCAAGCGATTCTCTTACCTCAGCCTCCCAAGTAGCTGGGATTAAAGGTGTGTGCCTCCACACCCAGCTAATTTTTGTATTTTTAGTAGAGATGGGGTTTCGCCATCTTGGCCAGGCTGGTCTTGAACTCCTGACCTCAGGTGATTCTCCCGACTTGGCCTCTCAAAGTACTGAGATTACAGGCATGAGCCACTGTGCCCAGCCTTTTTTTAAAAAATAGTTATTTTGGTGAGTGTGCCTTGGTATCACAGTGTAGTTTTAATTTGCATTTTTAATAGATATTTAAATTGAGCACCTTTTCTTGGTTTATTGGCTACTCAGACAGCCTCTTTTATGAAGACATCCAAATATATTCTACGTTTGAGTCTTTTGCCCATTTTTCTATTGGGCTGTCTTTTTTAATAGGAATTCTTCATGTAATCTGTCAGATAGTATTTTCTCCATCTAGATTACATTTTTAGTTTTTAAATGATGTCTTCTGATATAAAGAAGTTCATGATATATCTTTATATAATATAAATGATATATATTATGTAAATATATATAATATATATATACATATATAATTGAATATATAACTTTTTTCCCTTTCTGAATCCTGTTCAAGAAATAGTTATCTACTCCAAGGTCATGTAGATGTTTTTTTCTAAAAGTTTTATTGTCTTATCTTTCATTTTTATATCTATGGTCTATTTCATATGGCTTTGTGTGTGTGATGTAAGGTAGGGATTGAGATTCTTTTTTTTCCATTGGGATATCTGATTGACCCAGCATCATTTTCTAAAAGATGCCTCTCCTCATTGCATTGTGGTGCCTCCCGTGTGCTTTTGACAGGGATGACAGGGATGAGGATGATAAAGAATAGGCATAGTGTATCTTTCTCTTGTGAGACACAGGGATTCCAACTCCTATTCTCAATCTTAAAAAAGAAGTTATTTTTTCTCCTCCCAGTAAGTGGGAATTTTAATTGTGCTTCTGCTTCCAGCATACCAAGGGTTCGAGTTCTGGAGGATGAAGAGGGGTCGAAGGACATTGAATTGTCTGATGACCCTTATGACTGCATACGACTAAGTGTGGAGAATGTCCCCTGCATTGTCACTCTGTGCAAGGTATAAGCTTGTGTTTTATGTTTTTTTGTCTTCCCTGTGGGTGTGGGTCTTCTCCAATCCCAACCTGCTGAGGTTACTTAATAGGTTAAGAAGTTGTATTATCACATACCATATAGAAGTAGCTTTTACTCAAATCCAATAATTTGGTTATACTAGAAACCACTACCATGAGTAGCTCTTTCTTTTCTTTTTAATTGGAAGATACAACGTGATCCTGGGAGCTTGCCATGAGTGTGTTTGTAGTAATAGTAGCCAGAGTTTGTTAAGCTCCTTCCGCATACCATGCACTTCACTAAAGCACCATGTCCTTTAATTCCCTCAACTCTATGGGGTCTAGGGTGATTGAGTAGTGGCAGGGTGGTGAACACTGTCCACCCTATGAAATGGGAGGTTGGAGCAGGTCTTGAGTATCAGGAGTGGTTTTCACATAGAGGGCTGTGGAGCTGAACAGAGGGCAGTGGAGCTGAACATCAGGCTGATGTGACATAACTAATGCTGCTCCAGGCTGTGCAAAGAGGCCTGTATGGGCTATTGGCTGGGATTGTAGCTAATTCCACTCAGGATTCATTATCTCAAAATAAAGCTAAACAGGTCGGGTTTAATTCCACCGAAATCACTTCATGAACAGAATGTGGTGAAGTGTTCAGACAGCAGGATGTTGGGTCTTGGCTTCTTTCTTTTTTTCTTTTTTTTTGTAACAGTCTTGCTGCAACACCCAGGCTGGAGTGCGATGGTGCGATCTCGGTTCACTGCAACCTCTGCCTCTCAGGTTCAAGCAATTCTTCTGCCTCAGCCTCCCAAGTACCGGGATTACAGGCATGCACCATCATGCCTAGCTAATTTTTGTATTTTTAGTAGAGATGGTGTTTCACCATGTTGACCAGGCTGGTCTCAAACTCCTGACCTTGGGTGGTCTGCCCACCTCAGCCTCCCAAAGTGCCGGGATTACAGGCATGAGCCACCGCACCTAGCCAGCTTGTTCTTTCTTGTTTGTTTGTTTTGAAACAGGATCTTGCTCTGTCGCCCAGGCTAGAGTGCAGTAGCACAATCTAGGCTCACTGCAACCTCTGCTGCAACTCCCCCACCCGCCCAGGCTCAAGCTCAAGCAACCCTCCCACCTCAGCCTCCCAAGTAGCTGGTAGCACAGGCTCACACCACCACATCTGGCTGTTTTTTTGTATTTTTGGTGGAGATGGGGTCTTGCCCATGTTACCTGTGCTGGTCTCAAACTCCTGAGCTCAAGCAATCCATCTTCCTCAGCTTCCCAAAGTGCTGGGAGGCATGAGCTACTGCGCCCAGCCTTTGGCTTGTTCTTGAGTGTGTCCCTGAGCATGGACCCTCTTGATTTCCCTTGCCATCAGTGAAACGTCCATGTGGCTTTGTGTATTAATTTCTCCCTTGTGCCCCTCTGTTGGAAAGCCCTGGTGGCCTTTGCCTTGGATGGTCTCTGAATTCTAGTTTTAAACCCCTTTGCCCTGTTTTTCCATGTCATGTTTTTATTGTACTACCCACACAGTGGCCTGTGAGAATTGTTGAACATTCCTTGAACTATTTTCCTCATGAGCAGAATCTAAAATAAGACCTGGAACGACCAGTGCGGGTACTTTGCCTGGTGTAGAGATTCCCACCACGAGGCCATGAAGGGTGGGGCTCTGAGGCCTGCGTGACCCACTGTGTGCTGTGCGCCCTGCCTTTGCAGATTGGCTATCGGCATGTGGTGGATGCTACTCTTCAGGAGGAGGCCTGCTCGCTGGCCAGCTTGCTGGTGTCGGTGACCAGCAAGGGAGTTGTGACGTGCATGAGGAAAGTGGGGAAGGGCAGCCTGGACCCAGAGAGCATCTTCGAGATGATGGAGGTGAGGCCCTGGTTCTGAGGAAGGTGCGGGGACCTGGCTTGGGTGCCTGCTGCTTCCTGCTCCCTTGGTCACACCATGGCGATTCTCCCCATTCACAGCCTTGACCCCAAACCTGGAGGTTGGAGAACAGCTGGTTTGAGCCAGGGGTCTGCTGACCTAATCAAGGGGGTTGCGGGGGTAGATACTCTGGACTGGGAGGTAAGGAGCCTACCAGTAACCATTTCTTATCCTCAGTAAGTGCCCCATCTCATTTCTATGTGTCTAAATAAGACCGTTGGACTTTGATAATGTAAAGAGCCACTCGTAACTGCAAAATCGCAGGCCTTTGTGACTTGATGAGGGAATAGAATTCTTGGCTCACTGCTTCCTGTCCCTTGAAGTGGGCGAGTAGAGATGGAAGCAGGGGCTGAAGTGTGGCTGTCTGCCAAATTCATTACTGCTCTAGAAATGTTTAAATGGAGACAAGCAGGGATGGTGAGAAATCCGACCCGCTGGAGTGGGGGTGGGTTGCCCCTACCACTGGCAGAGCCATCAGGGCACTTCCACAGTTTTCTGTACTGTTTGCCCCACATGTCTGTCACCTCACTGGCCTGGAAGCCCCACAGGAAGGGACAGGGTCCTGCTCACCTGTTTCCCAGACCTTGCTTCCCCTACATCCACCTCACCTTTCTGACTGATTGACTGAACTTCCAGGAACACAGTTAGCCGGATCTGATTATTCATACTTTCTTGTAACCTCTATATCACCACACATGCCCAGAGATCATTGCTTAATAGCAAGCACTCTTCCTTTGTGTTTAGAAACAATGACTTCTTACTGAAGAATCCAAGAACATGACATCTATTTTCTTCATCATCTTTAAAATTTAAAAGGCCAAAATGAGCACTGTATATAGCATGGAGTTCCTAACCATGGGGTGTGAGGGTGTACTGCCCTGGCTGCAAACCTGGCTCTGGGCCATAGTCCCCCTCATCTGCAAAGTGGGACTGATAATAGCAATATCTGCCTCAGACACTGCTGAGGTGGTTATTAGGGTGATGTGAGGTGTAGAGGTAAACACGTGTCACAGTGTCTGATAACGTCATCAGTTCTCAGCTAATGGCAGCTCTTATTCTCTGTGCTCCATGAAGCACCCTGAGTTCAGATTTCTCCAGACTTAATGCTGCATAAAGTGTACCAAAGGCCTCTAGACAAGGGACTGTCAAACCTTGTTTTAGAAGGTACTCTTCCCCCTCCCAGGAGAGTTTATGAGAATTTCTCTAAATAACAACAAGCACAGTAAACAAATAGCGAAAGTTTATTGTGTGCGTACTATGTGCCAGATACTGTTTTCACTGCTTTAAATACATCATTTAGTCCTTTTTTTTTTTTTTTTTTTTTGGAGACGGAGTCTCGCTCTGTAGCCCAGGCTGGAGTGCAGTGGCCGGATCTCAGCTCACTGCAAGCTCCGCCTCCCGGGTTTACGCCATTCTCCAGCCTCAGCCTCCCAAGTAGCTGGGACTACAGGCGCCCGCCACCTTGCCCGGCTAGGTTTTTTTTTGTATTTTTTTAGTAGAGACGGGGTTTCACCGTGTTATCCAGGATGGTCTCGATCTCTTGACCTCGTGATCCGCCCGTCTCGGCCTCCCAAAGTGCTGGGATTACAGGCTTGAGCCACGGAGCCCGGCCTACATCATTTAGTCCTCAGCAACCTGTGAGGTAACTATTGTCCTCATTTTTACAGATGAGGAAACTGAGGCACACGGAGGATAAGCAGCTTGCATACAGGCCTCCTTGCTCATAAATACTGGAGCTAGGATTTAAACCCAGACTGTGTGCGTCCAGAGCCACTGCTCCCAGCCCCCGTGCAATGTCAGCCTTATAAACCAGATCTCCATGGCTGTCCTGGATGGCAGAACTGGAGCTCTGTTCAGTGAGTTGAGCTTTGTCCTCCCCTCAGGTTTGGGGGATGAGGTCTGCTAACTCTGGACAGGGGACAGTAGCTCTGTGGCCCTGTCTTACTGTTGATCTCACACAGGGATGCAGCAATCTGGAAATGACTCACTGGTGGAGCTGAGAGCCTTGCGGGTGGTTGTGCAGGCTGCCACCCCCAACCTCCGCAGTTGCTTTCTTGTATCTGGATTCAGAGGCATCAAATTCCTCTCAAGTCCTGGCATCCTGTCCATCTCATCTCCTCTTGTCCTCCCTCTCCACCCTCATGTATATGAATAATCAGTACCCCTATTTGACAGACTCAGACTTTTTTCTTTTTCTAATGTTATGGAAAAATCTTTCCAAAGGCCTTTTTTTTTTTTTTTTGAGACGAAGTCTCACACTATCGTCCAGGCTGGAATGCAGTGGTGCAATCTCAGCTCACTGCAACCTCTGCCTCCCTGGTTCAAGTGATTCTGCCTCAGCCTCCCGAGTAGCTGGGATTACAGGTGCCTGCCACTACTCCCAGTTAATTTTTTTTGTATTTTTAGTAGAGATGGGGTTTCACTATGTTTGCCAGGCTGGTCTTGAATTCCTGACCTCGTGATCTGCCTGCCTCAGTCTCCCAAAGTGTTAGGATTACAGGCTTGAGCCACCATGTCTGACCCCCCAAAGGCCTTTTTGACCTTTAACCCTGACTTTGCATTTCATAGAGGTGATCACTTCCCAGCCTTTTAGATTGAAATCATCTTTTCGTAAGAGTTTTAGTCATACTTGGGATCTCATCCCATGTTACAGTTAGGGGCCGGGGGAGAAGACACACAGGTCATTACTCTGGGACGAATATACCTCTAACTGAAAAGATTGAGGCAGGGATTTAGGCATGGATAGACATCCATGCCTCAACATAGTTGAGGATGGAACCAGTGGCAGAGTTGAATCCAAACTCCTATTGGAATATGAAATACTTGATAAGGTAGATATTTGTGGTTGGTTCTTCGTATTCTTAAAATGATTCTTGGGCCCAGAGACAGGTAAAATGACAGTTTCATGAAGAAAAATATTTTTTTTTATATTAGGGTTGTTGTTGTTGAGACAGGGTCTTGCTCTGTTATCCAGGCTGAAGTACAGTGGCACAGTCACAGCTCACTGCAGCCCTGACCTCCCGGGCTCAAGCAATCCTCCCATCTCAGCCCCCTGAGTAACTGGGACTACAGGCGCATACCACCATGCCCAGCTAATTTTTTAGTTTTTTGTAGAGATGGGGTTTCACTCTGTTGCCCAGGCTGGTCTTGATCTCCTGACCTCAAGCAAAATCCTCTTGCCTTGGCCTCCAAAAGTGCTGGAATTACAAGCATGAGCCACCACTCCGAGTCATACTGAGTGTTTTTTTTTTTTTTTTTTTTAGGACCTCTCGTGTCTGCTGTGTAGGGACTGATTATTTTGTGGGTTGTCCCTCTTGATGTGTTTTGATTCCAACATTTCACTGCCTTTAACATCTCAGCATGGCAGTAACACCAAAGATCCCATCCAGGTACTGACTTTGGTCACACCTGAGCAGTTCTGCTTAGAGGCTGTGTGGGAGGTGAATGAGAAGCTGCTTACTAAAATGTCCTTGGCATCATCTGTTTCTTCTCCAGACACACTCTGGATTCCCTGTGGTCTCCCTATTCCTTCTCACTGTAGTACAGTGTCAACCTGGCTGTACCCAAGCCCAGATTTGGTTGACAACTTTGTTTCTTGTTGCAGTGGCAGCAGGATGGTGAAGCATGAACTAATGGCCAGGGCAGGCTTTGCTGCTCCCTGTTTGCTGCCTGGCGGGGGCTGGTGTATTTATTTATTTATTTATTTATTTATTTATTTATTTATTTATTTACTTTTGATATGATTTTTCCAAAATTTATTATGTTGTTGGGGTTTGTGGTTTGTTTTTGTTTTAATTTGCTTTAATTAAATAAAAGTCCTCTAAGGCAGATGGAATGTGTACAATGTCAGAAAGACTTAACTGGCAGAAAGGGAAGCTTTTCTGCTTAGAGTGTGTGTGCCTTACAAGGGGGCGTGTGCTCTCTCCTGTCCCTTCTCCACAGACTGGCAAGCGTGTGGGCAAAGTGCTGCATGCCTCCTTGCAGAGTGTTTTGCACAAGGAAGAAAGCCTGGGACCCAAGAGACAGAAAGTTGGATTCCTGGGATGATTTGCACATCAACTGCTCAACTGTGGATTGTTTTTTACTTTTCCTTTTAAACTGGTTTGTATATAGTTTTCTTCGCTGTTATGAATTTACAGCAACATTTGTATGTGAAAAATTAAAGGCTATTTTCTGGTCTGGTTTGGTATGTTTAGAGTTCTTCAGTTGAAGTCAAGGCACCATTCAGTGACCCCTCCGAGTCTGGCCCTTATCTAGTGAGTGGCAGACAAACCCAGAGCTCTGCCACCAAGGGAGACCCCACAAGCTGGTGTAAAGACCTGGCAGAAAATGGTTTAAAGGAAATGCTTATGATATGTATTTTGTGAATTTTTTTCCCCTTGAAGAACTTTAAGAATCACAAAGAAAAGTTCATTCACCTTGTGTATTTGGGTGGTTCTGGGAGAGGAAAAAAGAGCAGGCACTCTGCCCTAGGTACAGACCCAGGGCGTCTGCCTGGCTGGTGAGTTGTCCCAAATCCTGGGGAAGTCCAACTGTGACTTCCTGCCTTCCAAGAGATCTGAATAGAATTCCTTAGGTTCAGGGTCTTAGTGGTAGCTTTGGCTCTTAGCCATCCTTTCTTATCACTCTTGTTTTGAAATTGCTTTGTGCTTTATAACCACTCCCTGGTGTTTCCTAAGATTTTGTTTTGTCAGCATTAAGGAGGATGCTTTCAAGATGTTGTCATTTGATAATTCAGCTGCCTTCATGCTGTCGGCATAGAAAGGAAGACTATGCTTGCTGGCCCAGAAAGCTCTTCTGTAAGCCTGTAGTTTCACTATGCAGTGTGTTAGGATTAAGTCTCTTCATGTGTAGAGCAGCTTTTTTTTTTTTTTTTTTTTCCTAGGGGAACTGGAACTCCTAAATCTTAAAATGCCCTGGGGAAGGAGCTGATTCATGAAGGAGAGCATTTCAACCGTGGCATTTGCTCTCTGCATTCAGTTAGACAAATGGGGTAAGGCGTTAGGAATTTATCACCGAATGGAAAGAACATAATGTGAGCTGAAGCCCCTGGGACTGCTTCCAGAGGTCCTGGTGTGGGCGTTCCTCCCAGCAAGGCCAGGTCCATCCCTGTGGAGGGAAGCAGCTGCCTAGACTTGGGCTTAATGGGGAAGCTTCTACCCTGTTGAGAGCACAGCCTGGGTTTTTATCTTTTATGTTTCTCCAGTGACTATCTACAGACACCATGACGGTGTTCCCAACAAGGCAGAAATCAGCCTGGTCTCTCCCCCGCTGCTTCTTGTTGACTGCCCATGACATGGCAAAACATTGGCAGTAGTGGTGCAGAGATGCAACTCAAGTGTGAATAAAGTTTAGAAGCTTTTGCTTTTGATGGTTGATTCCAGTGGATCATTTTGAGATACATAAATTAGGATGGATATTGTCATATATGTCAAACTCAGCTCTGCTTCACTTCCCTTCAGACAGATGAGGCTTTGGCATGCCAGTGGTACGACAAACAGCTACCCAACTTGGATGGCTGGCTAAACGCTTCCAGTGAAAATGAAGAAGGAAGAGAAAAAGATGGTGGCATCTGTCTCTAGCCACCCCATACCTTTCCCTGAAGGCCATCCCTACATGTAACATACATATATTGCAAATGAAACAAAACACCATATGAGCAGGGGCTCTCAAGGAGAGGTGTTTATTGGAAAGATCTGATTGTTGCAGCTCTCAGAATGAGAGAAGAGAAAACTGAAGACAGAGACTGGCAAAGACTTGGAAAAATATTATCCTGGGACAGACCTGTTTCATCCAGTAGAGCCACAGCTGTCTTTAGTGGTCTTTAAATAAACATTAGGTAGAAGAACATTGAAGATGGTCAAAGTAAGGGCGAGGTATAAGAAATGCAATGTTAAGTAATAACTGGGTTTTTAATTGTCTCTGATTCCTTAGTCTTCCAAATCACGAGTTAATTTTTTTTTCTTTTCTTTTTTTTTAGAGATAAGGTCTCACTGTGTCCCCGAAACTAGAATACAATGGTGCAATCATAGCTCACTGCAGCCTCAAACTCCTGGGCTCAAGTGATCTTCCCACCTTTCTGGGACTGCAGGCGTGCCACTATGCTCAGCAAATTGTTTTTTTTAAAACAAGAGTCTCACTAAGTTGCCCACGCTGGTCTTGAACTCCTGGCCTCAAGCAGTCCTCCTGCCTTGGCCCCCCAAAGTGCTGGAATTATAGGCATTAGCCACTGCACTGTGACATGAGTTTAGATTTTTTTTTTTTTTTTTGATGAGAGTCGTTGAGTGGGCTGACTTCTTTTTTTTATTATTATTTTTTGTTTTTTGATATATGGTCTCACTCTGTCACCCAGGCTGGAGTACAGTGGTGGGATCTTGGCTCATTGCAGCTTTGACCTCCTGGTCTCAAGTGATCCTCCCACCTCAGTCTCCTGAGTAGCTGGGACTACAGGCACATACCACTGTGCCTGGCTAATTTTTGTATTTTTTGTAGAGATAGGGTTTTGCAAGGTTTCTCAGGCTGGTCTCGAACTACTGAGCTCAAGTGATCCACCTGCCTTGGCCTCCCAAAGTGCTGCCATAACAGGCCTGATCCACCACACCCCACCAAGCTGATGTATATTAACAGCCATGGAAAGCCTTTTTAAAAATGGTAGGCTTGGTGGGGTGCAGTGGCTCACACTTCTAATCCCAACTTTGGGAAGTCAAGGTGAGAGAATCATTTGGGGACCAGGACTTTGAGACCAGGGTGGTCAACATAGTGAGAACCCCCATCTCTACAAAAAACTTAAAAAATTAGCCAGATGTGGTAGTGTGTACCTGTAGCCCCAGCTACTCAGGAGGCTGGGGCAGAAGGTTTACTTGAACTCCGGGAGTTGGAGGCTGCAGTGAGCTATGATTGCACCACTGCTCTCCAGTCCGGGCGACAGAGCAAGAACCCTGTCTCAAAAACAAACAAAAAACAACAAATGGCAGGCAGGCTTGTCAGCCAACCATCAATTTTTGGCATGCTATTTAATACAAAAACCAGAAGGTGGCTGGGGACAATGGCTCATCCCTGTAATCCCAGCACTTTGGGAGGCTGAGGCAGGAGGATCACTTAACCCCAGGAGTTCAAGACCAGCCTAGGCTACATAGTGACACACCATCTCTACATAAAACTTAAGAATTAGCTCAGCATGGTGGTGCATGCCTGCTGTCCTAGCTACTCAGGAGGCTGAGGTGGGAGGATCGCTTGAGTCCAGGAGGTCAAGGCTGCAGTGAGCCAAGATTATGTCACTGCACTCCAGCCTGGGCAACAAAGCGAGACCCTGTCTCAAATAAATAAAACCAGAAGACCTTCATAGCACAGTTTAAAGAGACTGATTTACAACTTGAGTAGAATGTGCTGAATTTCAAACCCAAGATTTCCTTGTGCAAGAGTGGCAGAGTTGCAAAGGAGACAAGGTACATCCTCAGGAGGTTACTTTTGCAAAAATCAAGACTTTCATCAGGAAAGAAAGGGACTCAAACCTGAGTTAAAGATAGGACCTTGGGTGCCCCCACATTCTCCTGAACCCTTAGGGCAGGCAGAAGAAGCCTCCACTCCTCAGCTAAAGGAGCACAGCTATCCCCTTCCTGGAGACCACCAAAGGCCATACCTGAGGCAAATGTCTCAGAAATGGTACAGGTCAACCTCTGTCCCACTTCCCCTGATTATTTCCAGACCAATGACTAGGGTCAGATTACAGCCCAGCCTGAACAGGGAAATATGGTTCCTGCTGTGGGAAGAAATAGATTACTCATCAAAATAATTACAAGACTCAGCTTGGAATATGTGAAATTGAGGTGGGAGTGTCTTGAGGGTGTTGGACTAGGGCTGTGGCTAGAAATAGGGTTTAATATTTAATATCCTGGTAAGGAGATCTGAAGTTGTTCCTAATTCACTGCTGGGATAGCCCCTTTGAAGTGGACCCAGCGATCACCAGAAGTAAATGAGGAGATGCCAGAATTGCCTTGGAGTAGTGTATTGAGGAAAGGGTTGGAGGGTTTATAGAAGTGAGTGTCTTAGAATGGATTTATCGTGTGAGCCTGGAGAACATGCCACCCAACTATGATCCCCAGGATAACTTAGAGGGCACTGTCTTCACTAAAACAAAAAGAAGTTGCTAGGGAAGGAGTCCTGGCATCCTTGAGAAGGTCAGTAATACTTGTCCGGAAAGTTGGGTTGGCATCAGGAGATGCTACCATAGACCTGGGATTTCTACTGTTATTGGGTTAAGATTTGAGATGAGCAGGGGACAGGTGGCAGCCCGTAGCCATCAGAGGCCAGATGAGTATAATTTCCATGATGTGCAGTAAGGCCCAGGTGGCAGTCTGGCTGTAACTAATAGATTATGTGTTCTGAGGGTTAAGACAGATGGGCAGCCAATCAGGATTTTAATCAACTTGTCAAAATTAAAAATAATAAAATAATAATTGGAGTATAAAAAGCTTATGTCAACCACTATAATGGGAAATTCTAGTCCTTCACCCGGTTTCTGTAAGCCAGTTTCACAGATGAAAGTCCATTGACAGGAGGGAGGTTGGTGTCTTTAAGAATCCTGTGGTATCACCATCAGTACTTACAATAATACTTCCCTAATCTGGAATAACGCATCGAGGAAAGGTGATTTGAAGGCTTTTGAATCTGGGTTTTGACTTGATGCCTGTATTGGGAGACCTGAAATGCTGCCAAGGCTCTCCAGTCAAGGGGGATGAGGGATGGAGCCTAGGTAATAAATGGATGGTACAAGTAAGTCTGGCTCACAATGGTCAGTAGGTCCTGGGATAATTTCTGTCCCCAAATGTGTGGGTGGGATGGATATGGTACAATTGAGATGTCATAAATGGGATGGAATGAAAACCACAATGGTAAGGGTCAAGGTTGGAAACTGCCACCCTTCCCTGGCCAAGATCATAAATCAAGAGACAATATTGGATCTTGGGAGAAATTGCTGAGATTAGGACAAACATCAAAGACTTTAAGGACGCAAGGGTGGTTGTCCCCACCTCATTGTCATTTATCTTATCTCTGTGGCCCCTGTGAAAGCCAGGTGAATCATGGTAGATGACCAAACACACGAGAGAGCTCCCATTTCCGCTGCTTTGTTGGATGAAGTGTCTTCACTAAGATTAATCAACATAGCCTCCAGTGTTTTGTAT